TCCTGGTCCTCGTGTGCCTGACCATTTCTGGTACCCAGGGTCAAAAGTACTTCCCGGGAATATGCCGTCGCTGCGAGGGCGGAAGGGATCTCTCGGACTTCCCCACTTCATACCTCAACAAATGTTGCACCGTGGAGAAAAAATGCTGCGATGAAGCCTCAAAGCACGGGCATACTCGCTCATGATTGACTCGAAATTGCTGAAATCTCATCCGACCACAAAGGCCATCCTGCAATGCTAAGGAACGAAACGCTTCATCATATACAGTAAAATGGCTGTATTTTTTTTTTTAGAAGTGCAAATGTATGAAGGTGCATGTGCTGCGAGTGTGTATACGGAAATATGTTATTTTGGTGCCGTGATGTGAATATGCTCTTCTTGAAGAAAACAAACTCAGGTCTTTTATAGATTTGGTCAAATCATAGCAATGTTGAGGGTGGTCGGTCACCGCGTATCAGTCCCTTCTCCCTCAGTGCACATGTGAACTGCATCTGCAACAAATAAAGAGACTGGGCAAGGAATTAGCGTATGCGGTACGAAATGATTAATGAAATAACTCAATATCGACATAATTTTCGGTCCGGCTTAAGGCCAATGAAGCCTAAACTTTTCTGGGCAATATTGCCAATTGTCCAGATTAGGTGCCAGTGAGGCTACGTTACTGTAACACGTATATCGTAGGGTTTTGGAATTCAGGGGGATTTGGAATCTCCCTAGGGAGAGACATGATTCCACAAAACCCTCGGGTTTAGCGGAATCCTCTCAAAGTCGTGTCGATGTCACTACACCCTAGGGAGATTCCATATCTCCCTGGCTTGAAAATTACCCTTCCCACGGCTTGTCCCGCCGAGGGAAATTCTTTCGTTTGCGTTTACGGATTATTTAAGTCTGAAGAATACCGTGCAATAGTCAGTTCCCGACCAAAATTCTCGAATATGGAATCCCCCTAACACTCTATTGTGGGTAGCCATAAAATCATTAACTGGAATTGACATGTGAGTGCCACCCTTTTGGGAAAGAATGCGCAGGGTTGTCAGATTCTGTTGTAATCCTGCCATGGCCGCCACGACATCCGCAGGACACACACGATGAAAATGCATAAAAATCCATATCACGCGTTGACAACCCTATCTTTTTTTAGAACCCTTCTCAAAATGGGCGAGAGCAAAACCCTAGAACTTAATTGCCCAAAACCTCATCCGTCAAGCTTATTAGCCGTCTCTATTTAGAAGTATCCGAAAACTTTGGCCGGGAATAGACTATAGCTATCAGTGAGAATGCCGCGCCTGATTCTGCCTGCCACTAACGAAGAAAGCTTGGAAGGCAGTGGTTGCGTCAACGAAGGCGAAGGCTTTGAGGGCAGAAACAAGCTACGCCAGTGGGGGTGCAGGATCCATCTGCAAGTGCAAGTCTTGTCGCACCAACAGGTGCAGTGTTAAAAAAAACTAGGCTCATCCAAGTGTCACGTGGAAAGCCGTGCAACCTCCCAAAATATGACAAGTATATTCATTTGTTAATTGATTCCGCTTCGAATCTTAGGGACGTTTATTTTTTTCTTTCTGGACTGAAACGAAATTCCATTTCCCCCGGATGTCTTGATAATTCTCTTTCTCCCTAGGGGTAAACAAAATGATGGAAGCATTGTCAGCTAATCCGGGTGATCTGGGATCCCCCTAGGGGGAGGTGGCATAGGTTTTCCAGAGGATTCCGCTAAACCCGCGGGTTTAGCGGAATCCTGTCTCTCCCTAGGGAGATTCGAAATCCCCCTGAATTCCACAAAACCCTACGACACATTCGTAACGATCTGCAACGTCAATGCAATGTTCTTTGGCAACATTTGACGTCTTGGACGTTTACAGATTAAAGCAACATCGTTCAAGATTATCAAAACGTTGCTGGAATATTTTGTGTCATTTGGGTAATTGCCTTGGCTTACATGATCTTGTTGTTTCTCATGAATTCGTTTGATTCGAATGCGAGGAGACGAGGCATTATTGTCGGTTGGTTGCAGATTTCGTCTGATGCACTTTCCATTTCGTCTCTGTCGATGCACTGCAAAAATCCAGCCAAGGCACAGGCAAAAATTTGGGATATGCATAATATTCATGTTGTCAATTATTGGAAAGTTCCAATAAAAACGTTAGAAAAGGGTTCTGCGCCGTTCTTTTTTTCTTGACCAACACAGCAAAGAGGTAATTGAAGATTCGTGATGATTCATTACGAGAGTCACCAATGATTGACAATTGAGTCGTGCATGGCAGGTAGGGGAAGTCCGAAAAAGTCAACCTGGCTCAGTGGTTCTCAAACCGCGAAAACATATTGTATATATATATTTTTGGTACAGAGACAGGATCGGTGCCAATGAGCCTTTTTTTTCAATGTGGCCCGTATACGGTTGGCTCAAAAACTTTGAGTACTGAGTACAGATCAGGGTCATTAGCCTCGTCCCTTCTAAACCTATCCATGCCTCTACTCTAATTATCAGGTGACATTCCACTGATAGATACGGATGTCCCCTCCGACTAGTGCTGCCACCTACCCCATTTAACGGGGCAGGGCCATACTCCCTCCCCCCCCCTTTGACCTTTTTCTGTTATTGCGTCAGTCAGTTCTCCCTTCCAACGAAGTAGTATCTGCGTATACGAGTCAAAGATGTCAATGATATGGTCAAAATCCACTTCTTTTCGCCACTCGACTTTCAATGGACGTTTTTGGCCCATCGTTCATCAGATGTATATGTCTTGATAAGCTTAAGTTTGCTGAAGCTTCTCTCACACGAAGCAATTGCCGAGGGAAGGGTAAGAAAAATTCTGAGAGCTATCTCCAAGTTGGGATACGCGTATCGACCATCTTTCCATTGTCCAGCACAACTTTTTCCTTTTCGCTTCATTCGCTTTCTTTTTCACTCCCCAGCTTTTTACATTATCCTCTTTCTTGTCCCATCCCTGCCCAAATCCCCTATTCCTTCCGCGCATTCCCTTGCAGGGTTCTTCATTCCGACTTTCTTTTCCTCATGAAGCTTACGGTTTTTTTTTTTTCCCCCCCCCCCCCTCCTCCTTATTTAGCCTTGCCACTGCAGTTGTACAAGGTTGTGCCCAGGAACGAAGGAAAAATAAGTTGGACTCACTGAATTCTATTATTTGCTTCGAAACCCTGTGCTTGAAGGAGTTACAAGGCTCAGCTCAGATAAATGAAGGAAAAATGAGAAGCTAAGACTTGGTGCGAGCTCGTGATGATGGTTCGACCAACGAATCCAACCATCATCGCAAGTTCGCAAATCTAGAGCAGATGAGGGTTTCAAAGAAACTTTCAACGAGATGATTGTTTCTAAACGGAAGGCCGGGGGGTAACTTGCGAAATCATTCCTTCTTGAGGATATTCCAGGGCCATCGGCAATCCTGAGGAAGCATGGGCCCTCTTCCACGCTGCAGGAAATGAATTCATACGGCAGTATCATGGACGATGGAGCCTTGAAAAAAGGAATCGTCCAGGGGCAGAACCGGTGAAGAATCTCGAATATGGAGACGCTTGATGAACTAGAGTTCGAGACCGATGCACTTCGATAAATGTCCATGCAAAGCGGATTCCAACACGAGAAAGAAATAGGAGGGAAACGGGGCGACTTTCCTGCACCCACGGACGCACATTTCATAATAGGTATTGAGGCGAGGCTGAAGCCACAGTCTAAGCTTTTTTAGGCTCTTAGATGTCTCTGCCTGTCTCAGAGGTGGGAATTCTAGAGCTGATTTTTCCTCAAGGTCCCAAAAATCAACAATTGAATTTCGAGTTATTCCAGATGGAGACTCTTGCCCGACAGGAGGCTTTTGAACATTTCTTTACATTTTGTACTTAAAAACACGTTTGTGCTCAGTGGCGTAGTCGGGGGGGTTCTTCAGCCCCCCTAAGTTTGGTTGGCCTTATCTGTGAAACATTGGTTTTCCCTATGTGATGCATTCCCCAAATTTCTCCCTCCCCCCCCCCCCCTGCCTACCACCATTCCTTGTCCTTTCGCCTTTTTCATTTTTTGTCTGGGGGAAGAACTTGAGTATCTATTTCATTGGCCATCCCCCCCCCCCCCCCCCCCCCCCCCAACTCCGGTCTAAATGCATCCGCCACCACCCCCTCCCCCTTGGGCGAGGAGAAGTAAGAACGTTCCGCACCCCATTGGCGAAGTCCTGGCTTAAATTTATGAACAATCGTTCGAATGTACGTTCTTTTGAATCTCATCCACGTGCTCAAAGGGAATTTTATGCAGCAGGATTTCGGGAAATCTTCATGAAGATCTCATGAAATGCAAGATTCATATTTTATTAGGTGGATGGGCCACATGTTCCGGGAATCCCTCAACGGAAAGGTCACAATGAATTATGCATGGTCTTCTCGGGTTTTCACCACTTTCTCAAGATCACGCTGACCGTCTTGAATATCGCGGTTGACCCTCTAATTCCGATCACAATGCTCTCTGTCCCAGTGACTGCTCCACCTCTCTGTCTCCGAACACCAACGTGACACATCGTAAGTCACAGCATATACTCCAGGTACTCTTTTTTTTTTGTTTCTGGTCCCATCGGCTCTTATGCATGCTCTTGGCAGATGCAGATGAGAAGTGTGGTCTTCCTCTTGGTCCTCGTGTGCCTGGCCACCTCAGGTATTCAGGGTCAAAAACTCTTCCCGGGGGTTTGCAAACACTGCGCAGACGGAAGCGATCTTTCGAACATCCCCACCAAATACCTCAACACTTGCTGCCATCGATACAACGACTGTTGCACGGAAGCCTTGAGTCACGGGAGGCCGCCTTCACCGTGATTGGCTGTATTTGCTCCAAATCAGTGCAGTTTCACACAACCATAAATGACATCCAGCAGCGTTAAGAAACGAGACATTTCATTATATCTGGTTAAACCACTGGATTTTTATGGAAGTGCATTTGCATGAAAGTGAATGTATTTTGAATGTGTATGTGAACGTGTCGAATTTGTGCTGTTATGCAAATACGCTCGTCTAGAGGAAAACAAACGGAGCCATTTTATTGATTTGGTCAAATCACTGTAATCTTGAGGGAGGTTGATCACTGCGTATCAGTCCCTTCTCCCACAGTGCACATGCGAACTGCATCTGCAACAAGCAAAAAGAGAGAATAACTAGAATCGCCAATGTTGATGCAATTCCATTCATTCAAAATCCTGTGAGAAGTCACCAAAACCGACCTTCTCAGAAATGGTTGGCAGGGGGAGGTCTTCAACCTTGACAAACTCAGGGAATGAATGGATGAGGGATTCTAAGGCTGGAGCTTCTTCAGGAGACATCTCGAAAAACTGAATGTCATCTCCATGGTAGATACGAGGATTATCCACACTGTGATACAGCCGCACTGCTCCTTCCTCCATCACCAACCTGGCATGTTGCATAAGGTCACATGTGGTAATATGGGTAGGTAAAAAAAAATTACAAACAATAATAATAGGAATTTGGAAAATTAGAAATCCAGGATGAATACAATGAAATAGGATGCCAATATTATAAACAATATATGAATACTACACAAAAAATAAAATGTCATTAAAAGTTAGAATTGCGTAATGCTGCATGCAGATAGGCCCGAAAACCTTTAATCTACTAGTGAGGTTAATAACTACACAACCTAGTTTCCAATTACAATGGGAAGGTTTGCCACACAACAGGTTATTAATACTTATTAGAATTTAAACAATTGCATTTAATATACTTTGGAAATTTATTCATGAAGTAGGGCAACATGGGTATTATGATATCCATACTACATATCCTATACTCTTGTACTACTGCAATTAAGAATGCTACACTTATATACAATACTACAATATCAACACAACAGCACTTGAACAAATATTGAGAGTAGATCCACTCTTGCAATAACTATACTCAGGAAATATAGTTCTATCCTGACATATAAAAAACCTGCATTCTGAACAGTTTCCTGATTCAAATATGGAATGAAACAGAAACATGGGAGGGAAATTTGAATGCAACATGGTCATCAAATTGTTTCAGTAATAACAGGAAAGAGTGTGTCTGATATCCAAGTATGTCTCATTGGATTTTCCTGATGACACGATGCCGGCGATTACGAGTCCTTTGACTTCCGTCCATGACAGAATCACATTTTAATTTCATGTCAAATTTGACTCTTTTGCATGCACCTTGTACCTAGATACCTGTAGTTGCAAAGGAGGTATTTTGTTCTGCATGATATTAAACCAAATATTGTCAGTACAATAACTGCAAAAGTGATGTGACATGCAAATGAATTTGTGAATTTGCATATGAAACCTAACATAACAGAAATGCAATGAAAGGGCAAATATTACCTGGCATGACTGAGAAACTCAAGTCACATTTAACTTTCCTTATGTTACTTTTGATCCTCCCATTCAGAACAGCAATGCATTGGACTTTCCTTGTTGCATCTGACTTCCTCATTTCCACATTTGACTTAGAAAACCTATATATTTCCCAGAAAACAATTTACCCTTCCCATGCTCTGAGAAGGCATTAAAAAAATTCACCCATGAAAGGGTTCAAGATGAAGACTGAGTTATGCAATATCAATTCTTAGCTGCTTCAAGGTAAGTTTATCATGGAAAGAACAAGTCCCAGGATGAAGTCTTTAAGTTAGCATAGCTCCCTCGGTCATTGAGAAATTTGGGTACAGAATGCATAAGTAAAAACTGACCCAACAGATAGGAATAAGAAAAAGGGGGCCCCCTCTGGTGAATAGAGACTGCCATTCCAGTTTTACATGATGTTACATGTTGATTTTATCAACTGTCAAAGAAAATCGAACACCACCAGGAACCTCACAGTTACTTAGGCTACAAAGAATTGCAAAGTCAAAAATGGATGAAATCCTACTCATTTTACCCCATGTGACCCTATACAAGTTGATCCACAGATACAAAAACCTTACTAGAAGAACCATCATAAAAATATGCATACCGGATGGCAGATACACGAAGAAGACGTATATTTGTATCTGGATCCAATTCTACTCGCCTAACAACTTTCTGTTTAGCAGCAGACCACTTCTCTCCAGTTCCATAAACACTGCAAGCAAGGTCATCTATTGCAAAACAAACAACAAACCACCCTTAATATCATACAAGCAACAACTCATCCACCAGTAAAAGGAAGAATAAAAACAGACCTTCTGAGAGGACAGGTGGCAAAGAGTCATGGACAAACCCCTTGGCAACCTGGTCCACAGCAGAATCAACAGGTGCATGTTGCATGACAGTACGCATTGCTGATGCCACACGATCCAAGAATGCCTTTCGAGAAGGGGTATCAGTCTCGCTCCAGACAATGCCTGCACTGGTGAAGTAATTCACAGGCAAAGATTCTCGCAATGAAGCATCTTCCTCCATTGCCATCTCAACAGCACCTTCTAGCATCTGTGGGAGAACTTTATGCCTTAAAAGAAAAGCCTGTGTGTGTACCTAAGGGGGGTGATAGGGATCTGTTGATATGAAAGACCTTCTTCAGCAGGTCACCCCAAGTGTTTCGCTGTGCACAGGACACTGTGATGTGGAGGGAATGCTTAGCCTTTTCTGGAGTTGAAGCCTGATGGATGAAACCTCTTGGGAAATACAATAAATCTCCTGGTTGAAGCACTGCCTCCAAGATGGGTTCCCCTATCTCATCCTGCTTGAAGTTCTTACTTGAATGTAGAGGAAGCTTTTCGTTTTCATTCCTTTGAACATCAACAACACAAATCACTTGTTTTGCATGAACATAGTGAATTTGGTAAAAATGAACCTTAACACAGACAGATTACAATACCTTGGAGCATACACTTTCCAGGACTTTTGACCTTCAAGCTGCAAGACAAATGCCTCAATGTCATCCCAATGAGGTGCAAAACCTTGAAATCCTCCTGGAGTCAAATACCTGCCAAATGCAACAGTATGCAAACAATTTAGTCTGTTCAGTGTTTTTTCTTGAAACTTGCAACCTGTACCAGAGAGGAAAGCTCAATTCTTCAGTTGCATAATAGTACATTTGATGACAGGCATCAAGTGATGCAAAAAAATGAAATTAAATTTATTAACTGGAAGTTTAAAGCCATTTGGATAAAAACCAACTTCAGCAAAAATTCAGCCTTGCCACATATTATACCAAAAGGGTTTCAGCAGTGCTCTCCTCATCATCAGCCTCATTTGACACCAAAACCCTTGCTTTTAACTATTGGGTTCTACAGAGCAAGCATTTATAATGGCAAGACCTTCCTTTCCAAGCTAAAGTATGACACCATACAGTCAAAACACTACATCATGGATGCAATAAGGCTCTTCGCACAAAATGAGACACAACTGTATAGACCTAAAACCTCTGCTGTAATTACAAGGAAAAACTGAACTCCTAGCTTAAATTTAAATAAATGTTTTCTATTCAAACAACTTAAAGACTTCAAACTTTCATTAACGAAATTTGATATCTTCTCTGTGAAATAGAAAAAGATGAAACTACCAAATCTGTAGAATCTGTAGAATCTGTAGAATGCATCTAACAATGCAGTTTTTTTGGCACCACTCAGTATACAACTCTTACAAACTCTTTTATTAGCATGTGACTAAATGGTCCCATAGAATTTGAGATTCACAAAAAGGGTATCAATCTATGAATCTCAATGAAGTTGAGATTCACAAAAACTCTGATACAAAACACTTAACCTGTCATAAATAAAGTTCATAGGGGAATTCAAGTATTACTGGCATTCCTAAACGATTCCCATTCCTCAGTAAGAGACTCCTTACACGACGATAGGTAATGTTATGAGTGGAACTTTCTCCCCCCTTCCAAGTCTTTTATAAGGGTAATGGTGCAATCATGTATGCTAAAGACTAGAGACTACTTTGTCGACCAATAAACTTTAATTGATTGAATTGATTCCCACTCCATGCTACTTACACATTTGCTCCAACACATGAATGAAAGTATTCCTGGAGGGTTGTGAGGAGTTTCCAGACCCCATGACTGAATGTTTGGGGATTGAGAAGCCGAATGCTACATCCATTGAGAAAGAAATCCCAAACCACAGCACCATGAGCTCGGCCAACAGGGTTCAGTGTATCCCTTCCACCTTCTGGTGTATAGGTGGTAACATCAAGGTTCTTGGTGAACTGCACATTCTCCTGTCACAGGAAATTAGAACTGGAAATTGCTCACCCAAACTTTTTCATTTATTTAAAGGAGCAAACTCAAAAGATGTCATACCTTTCTCAAGATGCTGTCAAGTTCAGCTGCAGAAAATACTCCAGAATAGTACTCAGGATTATTTCTTCGGATCAGAAGAGGCTTCTTCTCCCACATTTCCCTTCACAGAAGAGAAAAACATATCTTTATGTTCAAAACAGTACACTTTCTTAAGTATGCATCCTCTTAATTTTCTCCATTCTATTTTATGAGCATAACTCACCTCATGAACTTTTCCTTGTCAAAGGGGTGAATAAGCCACTCAAAGCACTTTTCCCCAGACATACCCTGTTCAGATATTGAAATCTTGTTCCTTTTTATTTTTTGCGAAAAGCTGTCCTTCTTCATGACTTTCTTTCTCTGAGCGGAACCAATCACTGATTTTTTCTTGGACTGCTCCTGACTGAGTTTGAATGGAATCACTAAAAGGAAGAGACATTCCAGACAGAGCAATATAGACAGGGATAGCGAATTCTGGAAACTGATATCTGCATAAAATAAACAAAATCTATTATTTTTATAAATGAATTATGTGAGGGAAATGTACAGCTTACCATCTGCTTCTGCTAAACTTTTTCTAATTTCATCAATTCCATCCTTGAAGGTCTTGGGTTGTTGTGAAATGATGATATTGAGCTCCTTCCTTTTAGCCTTCTTTCGTTTTCTCACCATTGCTTTTGCACTCAATTTGCCCAGCTTGTAATCTGGCTCTTCGAAGAGTCCAATAGCATTCTGCAGCATGCAGAAATAAAAAAGAGAGTTAATCATGAGGAATAAGCTAAGAATAAGTTAGTGTAAAACATATTGGCAATAAAGATCACAATCATGTTGTATGATGGATATATATGACTTACTCAAAATGATAGCTCATCCTTTGAGTCAATTCTTTCAAATTACTCTTACATTAGGTTAATATCAGTTTTTCTGTAGTTTTATACTGTATTAGTTGATTTATTAAGTTAGTTTGACATTAATTTGCATAATTCTCAAGATGTTAGGATGATAAGAAAGAAAAATAAGAAAGATGTTAGGGACTAACATCTTTCACTGAAGTTATAAACTAGCATATTGCCTTCTTCAGCCTCGGCTTACTTACATTTCCTTGTCGTTTCTCATGAATTCGTTTGCTTTTGATGCCACTAAAAGAGGCATTATCACCAGTTGGCTGCACACTAAGTGCTTCATCAGATGCACTTTTATTTTGTCTCTGCTGATACACTGCAAATGCAGACATATTAGTTTGCTTTCTCTTCTTTTCTTTCTTGGGACTTTCCTCAGTTTTTTCTCTCATTTGCTTGTTCCTCCTTCAAAAATGACTTTCACCTGCATGTAACTAACAAACAGAAGCAAATATTAGGATCACACAGAATCACAGACATTGAATTCCATTGATGAATTCATTATTGGTCTCTAAGCTTATGCTATAGGTCAGGAACCAGTAACCCAGGTATGGTATGATATGCACACAGTCCACTCAGGCAATGCACAAAGCACCATGTTGAATATCATTTCTTATCCTCCTTTAAAGGTAAGCACAGACAATGGAATGACAGTGCATTTACTTCTTTTCTTGTCCCCCTTTCAATCACACCTTTCATGTCCCACCTCTTCTCCCCTTGATGTACAGTTGCCTCTGCATAATGGAATACCATTGCACAGTTCCAATTTATGGTATGACACTGTAGATAGTTTTGGTTATTGGAATACTCTGGGTTATAAATAAATTTTGATAGTCCTGTGAGTATTCCATTATCCACAATCAACTGTGCATGCATGTATTTTTCACCTTATGACTGTGTCATGAACTCTATTTGGGGGCAAAGAAGTCATCAATACAAGAAAACTGAGAACCTGGACGCTGACAAAGTTCGTAGTCTTCCCTTCCTTCCCTTAGTTTGCTCATTTCAGGGCCTCACAGACTTGACATGAGGTTCATCACATCTCCTTGATACCTCAACATAAACTACATGGTAGTCGCCATGTATATTATTATAGTTGCCCAAAGTTGCCAATGACACTTCACGACTTTCTGCAGACCTCCCCTTGGGGGCTTAGAGGCTGCCAAACTCACAATGTACTGGGACACTTGTGTTGTTACTGTTCTGAAAGTGGGACCACCCCACCTCATTGCATTCGCTCCTTAGGCTAATCGGAATGAGGTTCATGTGTCAAATCAACATGCCTTGCACCAGGCCAGTGTGAGGCAATAAGACCTGCATAGGGAAGCAACATGAATGGCGAATATGAAGGATCCCCGCTCGGAAGTTGCTATCCATGGACGTAAGAGAAAAAGCAGTTGCTCCATCCATGTGCATGCGTGTGGAATGACGGCTGATTCATATTTGTCACATGTAAAGCCAAAGTGTCTTAGGTCATGATTGGAATAAAGTTCTGTTGCCATAGTATGGAGAAAATGATTGCACTAGCAATATAGTGGCGATTGCCGTGTTGATGACACTAGATGATATAGTGACCAGAATTTTTCCAGCAAAGAAAGGGATATTCTCTGTTGATTAAATTCTAATTGAAATACCTAATTTAACCCTTTGAGGAGTGGGTTTTATTAAAGCCTGAAAGATCACTCATAGTGAATGCAAGAAGGGCAGGAGGCTGTCAGCCTGTATATATATGGGCATACTTGTCAAATGCTTAATAAGCTAATTGAATTCTCCCTTGCAGGCTGAAATACTGGGACACCACAGGCAGACATGAATGTCTTTATTTACAATTTTCTATCTGTGCTGAGCAAAGGGTTGAAGGTTTGTTGAATGAAGAGCCAAAAGTAACTACTAACCAAAGAAGAAGCCACAGGGAAAAACAGCTGAGAAACTTTGTCTTCAATGTCAAGTTGTCAGCTTGAAAAATGGGTCACAAGGAAATTTTTTGAGGAAACCAGGCCATAAACCAGGGTACTTTATGAACTAAAGTGGAGTCTCATTAACTTGTAGTCCTAGCAAAACCAGGACGTTTATTCAGGCTAGCCTATGTCTCCTCTATGGTGGGATCACATACTGTGTTTTTCACTTGGCTTCGACACTCATGCATGAATGTCCAAATCATGTGAATAACACTGTAATTGTAATGACGGTATCTTCCATAAAATTGCACATGGCATGCAGGGATTCGCCCTGAATGAAGTAATATCAGCTATTCACGCACACAGTACAAACAGACCTATCAAATGCCATAAAATCATGAAAAATGGACTTAGTGTTTTTCACTTGATTTCGACACCCATGCTTGCGTCTGAGTCAAGCGAAATATTGTCTTACTCAAGTGAAAACACTATAGATAAGATGACATAAGGGAAACGGAGATGCAGCTTTTAGTTGTATAGAGTACACTGTTGTAAGCTAGCCAATGCCTACCAATAGAAGAAACTGCGCAAAACCTAAGGGGAGCACGTGGCTCCAAGCCGGTTGCATGCGGCTATCCCCATGACAGGCGCCATGTTTAATCACGTGGGGCTTTTGGCAATGGACCCTCACAGCGCCCACTTCGTTGCCTTTGGTTAAGGAACGGCTTAGGGATACAAAAATAAATTCAGTCTTCAAAGTTAAAGGAGGCTGGCTCAGGATATTAGTGCAGGGTATTTGAACACCAGAAAACTTCTCAAGATATGCCTGTGAACCTTTGGGATGTGTGCAAGGAGAGGGCAAAGAGTAAGACTGTCGCTGCTGGACAGAAAGATACGACGTTGCTTTTCCTTGGATCAAAGGAAACTGTGAGTAATGCCTTGGCTCTCTCATGGGATAGCGACCTCTTTTTATCCCTGGATCTACTCTTGGGGTCATGTTAGTTTTGTCTTCATCAAACCAATAGACCTATAGCCTTGTTTCCGTATTTTCAGGGCAAGACAACATTGATAAATCACTTCGTTGGAAAGCTTGATGAAGCTGCCAAGCCCACACTTGCACTGGAGTATTCCTATTGTTTACGTCAGACCAACAATCCGGTGAGGCTCAAATTTTGGACACACTTCATTTTTCAGAAAGGGGTCAATTGGGTTGTTTGTTGTGCCTTGATCTAGACTGGTGAAAGATATCCATAAAGTTACTGTATAGTTCCACAAATATTTCTCCCTGCTATATTTGAAGTAAATAAAGCATGGTTCCAGACAAAATGTACAAGGGTGTCTGGATAACAGGCTTTTGCTGTCCCCTCACCATGTTTTCCACTCCAGGGATTCGACTTGTACCTGTAACACCCTTTCATGCCATTCTTCAAAATCATCCCCCTTGCCTACCCCATGTCTGCAGGAATGAATCCATTTCCTCCAGTATAGCTCAATCCCTCTTACGTCTCATTCATGCACCACAAGAGGAATGGAGAAGATGAAAGAAAGGAAAATGCAGAGAAAAGCTGATATAGGAGGATAATTTCTGCTGTCCAGCATACCCTTGAGAAAAATCTTTTTTACTAACTTTTCCTTTCATATAGCAAGTCTATAAATTGTTTCTGAAGGAGCAGATCAAAGTGATTCCATGGATGATCATTTTTCAAGGTAATTTGTGATGCTCAGAGAATTGAAAGAAGCTTCTAACTTACACTGCTCATTACATTCTGGAAGGGAAATTTCCTGTAACTTGGTTGCTGACATTTGATTTTTTGAGTTGCCAATTTTCACGTTTTTTTTTTTGTACACCTGATGTAATAATTTTTTAGAATTTAATTATGTTTGGAAGAAAAAAAAACTATATTGTACCTGAATCACCTGACACATTTTGTTCATTTATCTCAAATACAGTAGAGGAGGCAATTTTTTAACCTTTCATTCAGGTATGATTGTAAAAAAAAAATTTTAATCTAAAATATTAATGGTGCAATTCACTCTTGTATTGGGAGTGAGACTTATGAGAAGCTGAAAAGTTACCAGTATTATTGGAAGATTCTTAGTCAGCTGAAAGTGTAAGTTGTTCAGAGTGACTGACTTGAGAATTTCACAGTTGTGATACTCTTCTCTGGCTAGTTAAGGGAGAGCCAGAAAAAACTTTTCATCCATCTTTCCTTGACTGATGCAGTCATCTGTAAATTTTCTCTTGGAAGTTCCCCTCTTACCACTGCATGGAAGTCATGTCATGGTGGGTTTTGCACTGTAAAAGTTTGAATTGAGTTGGTTGAATGAAATAAATCTAAGAATTATGTCAGTTCATATTCACCATGCAGCTGGGTTCAAGTGAGAGTGCATTGTGGCCCAAGTTCCACTGTTAGAGAGTGTATTTTTTATTTTATTCACCATTTATTCATTTGGCAACTGTCAACAGATCGGTGGCCACTCGTGATATGCAGCAGTAGTGGTACATCAGTGGAGACAAGAGACTGGCCACCTCTGTCTACACTGACAAACTACTATTGCTGCATGTCATGAACTGCCACTGAAACAGATATCATTGATGAAAGGAATGAGGAATGAACTAATTTTTAAATCTGGATTCACTTGTTGATAGACTGGAGGAGGGAATGAGATATGTCATCTCTGGGAGTTGCAAGGAGGCACAGCATTTTCCTCTCTTCTTGAGGCAGCAATATCTATTGGAAATATAAAGGGACTTTCCATCATTCTCATGCTGGATCTAAGTCAACCCAAGATACTCTGGTCCACAATGGAGATCCTTCTCAAAGATCTTAGATCACGTTTGACCACAGTGCTCACATCTTCTAAAGCTAAGGAAGAGAATTTGCAGGAGGAGCTCCTGTCCAATGTCATGGCTCGCTTTGGAGATCATCAAGTGAGTATACTAGCCTTTGTAAATAACCAGACAACACATATCTAAAAAATTTTCTGTATTTGAATATTACAGTACAATCTGCTTGGATATCATTCATGAAGTTTTCATTTGCAAACTCACTGAGTTACTTCATGGGAACCCATCAAAAAACTATTTTCCTGTCTTTTACCTGTAGTTTTGTGTATGTGATTGCTTCAACATGGTTCTAATAATACCTGGCTTTAACTCAGTCATAATTTCTGATGAAGAAAATGAGAGGCATTATTATGGATATGAAAAATAAAAATTCATATTTTTAGGAAAATTATTTTGCTTTCATTAAGCAAGGAATATTGATCTTTAATTTCCTTTTACTTATTATCAAAATTTGCTGATAACCTGTTTCCATCTTTGAGGAGGCTTGTTTAGTAAGCCTAGTTATTAGTTCATTTAGGACTAATAACTGTTTCCATGGTTCCCTGTCATTTTTTAGGAGAAGCATCAAATAGAGCCATTCCCAGTACCATTTGTTATCCTAGGAAGCAAGTATGACATCTTTCAGGTATGATTTCCATGACAAAATTGTGCTCATGAGTTCTATCGTTTTTTTGTCCTATACCTCTCCTTCACTCATCTGGTGTGAAATTTATTTTTTGTCTTTAGAATTTTGATCCAGAGGAGAAAAAGGTCATGTGTCGTTGTCTGAGAAATGTTGCTCATTCTCTTGGAGCAAGCCTTCAATTCTATTCTTGCAAGGACACAGTGTTACTCAAAAGGGCTCGAGATCTCCTATCTCACTATGCCTTCAATACTGCCCCATTGTAAGTCTTTCTGAATTGTAAATTTGCCCCACTCTTTTTTTATTGCCTAAAAAAAATATCAGGTGTATGAGTCATTCTTGGAGCACCATGACCTTGTACTACTTCTAACTTTGAGGCACCTCTCTTTTCCTTGTCAGGAAGATAATGTCAACTGATTACAACAAGCCTTTGGTTATTCCTGCTGGCTCAGATTCTTTCAGCCAGATTGATAACAAAGGAGCTGAAGAAGAAAGCAGTTCTGGGCACAACTTCAATCTTTGGAGGCACACATTCACCTCTCTTTTTCCTCAGGTGAGTTAACCAGGTTTTTCCAAAAGTAGTGATCACTGCAGCACATCTTTGTGCTTCCAGAAGCAGCATTATGTTGAGTACTTTGGATTTTGTTTTGCTTTTTTACACTGTTCACAAATAAAGATTTTTCTTAATGCAGTTTTTCCCCATTTAAAGATAAATTGACTCACTTTAACTATAACAGAAATGCCAAACTGAACTGTTGGAAATACCAGACTATCCTGTCAAGATGAGTTCCATATTGGTAGTGACTTCACAGAGAGAATCCATTCTTCAACTTATTTTTGTTGAATTATGTTTATACCAATTGATTATTCCTTATTTTTCTATATTTATGGATTTACAGGAAAAGCAGGAGAAATTGGATCTTCCTGATGATCCAGCAATCAATGAGAAGTATCCTGAGCCAGATGTGGATAATCTTCGTAAGCAAAAAGATGAGGTACAATGTGTAATGCATTTACAGAATCCTTTAGGTCTATTTCATATTGCATTCTCATGTTAACAGTGCTGGTGTCTGGTCAATTTTTATAGGATTTGCAGAGATATCTGAGAGAACTGGAGCGAAAGCGAACCACTGTTGCTGATCTCCTGTGAAAGATGCTTGTCTTTCTATTTGGAATGTGTTATGCGGATTTTTTTTTTTTCAAAGTTTTTGTCCATCATTCCCAAATGATAATTTTTGGAAGAATTTTTCACTTAAAAGGGAAGCAGCATTTAAAACCTGGTAGCATTTCTGAGGAGGATAAACATGGACTAACACCCCAGGAGTTTGACTCCAGCTTGAGTACAGTTGAAAAATGCTTATTCGTTTGATGTCATTCTGAATTGTCACTTATAAGAGCTGACCTTCTATTCCAGGATAGGAGTAATGCTCAATTTGCATATTTTTTTAAAGAGAAATGAGAATGGGGATGACATTGTTATATAAAAGAGAGTTCAAGCTCAAGCTCCACTAATTGGAGACAGGGCTCCATTTGTGAGAATAAAAATTCATGGAGCTCTGTGAGCCATCAAAAGGAGGAAAAAGCCTCAGACCTGGCTCAATCGCTCACTCCTGGCTCTGAGCTCTCAGCTCATATTTAATTCATATGGCCCTTTGTGAAAGTGCACTCCAAGGAATAAATAACACCTGTGTATCCTTCAAGATAAAGATGGACACCTCATCTGTTTGAAGCAAAAGATAGATCATAAAGGTCCCTGATCTCACAAAAAATGTTCCACTTCATTGTACAAGTGCATGAAACTCAGCATTTGGGAATCATGGAAAAGACTAGTCAGTCATTATTGTATATCTTTCTCATCTTTGCTTTCCAAAAGGGAAGCTTTCTGCATTTCACGTTTTTGAAACCTGTGATAAGTCCACACTCTTCTAGTCAAGTCTGCAGGTCTTTGCATTGCCTTGCACGATCTCAAGTCTATTCATGCTTTTGTGATACTTTAATCAGTTTTCTTGAATAAATTCTATTTGCACTTACAAAAATTCCCTTCAATAAAATGTGGAAATGATACATTTGAGGTGGTGGATCGAGATATTTATAATCATGTGCATGGGCTTTTTCAGGTCTTAACTCCACCAGTGTGATAATTTACTTCTGTCATTTCAGTATGAATTCTTCAACTTCCCATGTTTACTATCCTTTAATTACGATATTATTTTCAGAATGTTGAGAGGCTCTTGTACTCATTTTGAGATCCTCAACAGAGGATCTCAAAATGGCACTCTTACCAATCACCATCTGAGATAGGTCCCCTCTAAATATGCATATTTCTTAATAGGACCGTCAATCTGCTGCCTTAATGAGGGATCTTTTGCCTTCCTCTTTTTTGCTCGATCCGTGAAATTCATGTGGGCTCTTGTTTCAGTCATCCACAAAAAGAGGCAGGCACGACTCACCTAATGCAATTCATGCTTTCGCAACTCGATATGTAAAACCCTCTGAAGCGAAGATTTCCTAACTCACGATCTTCGTCGAAGTGCCACTCTCTTGAATGCATTTGCCGAAATTCGATGTAGAAAGAGGATCCACTCATGCCTATCGCTGATTGGCACGAGCTAGGAGGATTTGCAGTAGCGATCCCGGTGCACCAAGAGTCCATATATTTTCCTTCCACGTCCGAAAGAGGAAACTCGAATCTCGTCCCATTCCAGGAAAGCCTAATTCTTTCGAGGATGCTTCCCGCCGAGCAAGATGTGACGTGAATTTCTCTCTTTGCTCTAATTTAATTCGCTTTAATCTCCATGTGGATTACCCCCCGCGAAGACTCTCCGGGTGCGCCCGTTTTCTAAGCTCAGTGGAAATTACGTCAATTAGGTGAAAAAATCTAGTGCATCTTTCTAAGCCAGCTTAGGAAGAAGGACCAATATGCTTAAATTTCTGCACATTGGCACTTTTTATTGCTGGACTGTTTCTCCGGAAAAAAAATTAATTTCTTCATTGGTGCTGCCTAATCCAAGAGTTTTTCATTTCAGTTTACGCCCCACATACTGCCCAACGCGATATATCATCACGAACGGACCGATAAGATCCAAACGTCTATCACACTGCCCATCCCAACAGAATACATGAGGCATAAAAATGATGTATACGTGGGGCATTCAAAAAGTCTTGGAAATGAGCATGTACGAAAGGAGTGGTTTGCATCTGGGTTGATTTGTTGATAGTGGCATATACAAGTGACATTGACTGTTGTCTAGAAATAATAACAGTATCTGTATCTATATTGTTGGCTGTGTACTAGTTCAGCAAAAAAAGTGTCCATTTTGACTGTGACCTAAAAATATGGAATTCAACAAAGAGAGTGAACGATTCTATGTTTTCACCCGGATGAAACTCGGAGA